GACGGGACGGAACGGACGGACGACGGACGACGTCGACGACGTACCGACGGTACGTACGGACGCGACGCGCGCGGCGTCGTGAGAGAGGGCCCCGAAGTCGGCTGCGGGGCCACGTGCGCTCAGAGAGGCTTCCTAAGTGGTAGCGGCCAGAGGCGGGAGTCCGCCCTGCCGGGGTGTGGGTGTGTTCAGGGTGCTGGTCAGGTGTGCGGGCAGGACGGCCGTCTGGGCCGCAGCTCGACAGTGCCGGGGCTCGCGTCAGGCCCTTGGTGTGCAGTGGGCGCTGAGGCTGTCGGGTTTGCCTCCCTGGCACAGGGCTTCAGCCTAAGAACAGAGGGGTCTCTACAGGGCCTCGGGAGCCTCGCCTCAGGGGAAATGCAGTTCTGCCTGAAAACTGTCTCTTAGAGTTAGAACTACAGGGGTGAGCATCTGGGCCCAGGAAATAAACGAAATATATGTTTTGCAAACATTCGAATTAATGCATAGTTATCATTATTGTCCTTTCCTCAGGGTCTGTCGTGACCCCAACACTTGGCTGCACAGTGTCATTCAACCCATAGGCACAGCCAAAAGCTATTTAAAAAGAACCCCAACGGAGATACTGTGAAGCCACGGACAGGGCTGGGTTTTCTCCTGCCTGTCATCAGTGCTGGGTGGTGGGTGTTAACAGCTGAGGGCCTGCACTGTGCACAAACACGGTCCCTGCGGGGGTGGGGAGGGCGCTGCAGCACGAACCGGGCAGGCTGGCAGAGATCCGGGTCAGGGCGGCTGGCCTCTGGGGGCAGCGGTGGGGAGGGACGGTTCTGCTCGCAGGGGTGAAGGGCGGGCACCTGAAGGCCCTCTCCTCACAGTGCAGGCAGGACCCAAGTAAGTCCCAGAACTGGAGGTTTGGACAGAGACTCGAGGGCAGAGACCTTACCTTACTTGTGCTCACAGAGCAGGCCCACGGGAACTGTTTATCAGGGGAACGTGAAAGGTGATGAGGGGCCAGTGTGGCTATGGTGGGGGAAGCACACACGTGAGCAAAACGGGAGGGGAGAGCGCGGTGCGGCAGAGACGGGGAGGCGTCCGCCGGCGCCCTCTGAGAGAGAGGAAGGGCCCAGGAGGAAGAATAGTGGATGGTGGAAGCAAAGGGTCAGGCCTGAAATGACAGGTGGGGCAGGGACGGGAAGTGGCGGGGAGGGTGGGGCGGGCAGAGGCAGAAGAGCACTTGCACCGTGACCACGGGCTCCAGGTCAGCCCACTCGGGCCCAGATCCCGGCTCAGCACTCACTGCCCGTGTGACCTCGGCCGGGTGCCTCTACTGCCTTGTGCTTCAGACTCCTTGCTGTGAAATCAGGGTTGATAATATTATCTGCCTCTTAGGTTGTGTGCAGTAGGCACCCAATACACACTAGCGTTTGTGTTGTTGTTAATATTACATCTGCTATGAATTAGCTGAGTGTATTGAACTCAATACAAAATCTTTTCTTTGTTTTAAAAGCCTAACATATTACTATTTTTCCTGATGTTGATGGATTTCAAGTTTGCTACTTTGGAAATGGGGGTGTGGGAAGTTGGGTAGGAAGGGAGAAATCACTCACTGATAGGGACCATGGAGAAGGGGGGACCATGGAGAAGGGGGACCATGGAGAAGGGGGATTTGAGTGATATATCTGGGACTCAAGGGGGGAAGAAGGAAGCGGGCAGAAGGGGAAGGAGCCAGACATCTGTGAGAGTCCTGGCAGTGACAGGCCTCCCTGGCCAGAGCAGAGGGAAGGGACGGTCCTCCCACGAGCTGGCGGTGCTGGCCAGGTTCCGGGGCTGGCACTGGCCATCTGCACCATGCAGACACCTCAGGGCTGGTCTCTGAGTGGAGGCAGGTGTCAGAGTTAGAGGGGAACAGCCCCTCCTGACAAGACTGGCTGATTTGGAAAAGGGAGCAAACTGCAAAAATCCCCGATCGGATGCCACATCATTCGAACAAGTGATAATAGCACCTTGTGGAATCCCAGTCCATCCTCTCATTTGAAGAGAGCAATTCTGCAAACTGCTTCCAATGCAACATTGTAGATGGTGTCCACAGGCGCGGAGGGTAGCTGGGACGTCTGCTCCTTATCTCGGGCACATGAGGAGTGCGACTGGGATTACAGCAAGAAACCTCACATCTGGACCAGCATGAAAACACAAACAGGCCGCCACATCGACATCGTCTCTGAAAGTTTCTCAGTTCCTCTCATCTAACAAGACATTCTCATTGTGATCCTGCCCTGGGGACTTGCATGTGACAGGACAAATTATGTGATGGAAAGCGAAGGAAATGAGGACGAGGAGAGGAGGGACACAGACAGCAGCAACCAGCTCCTCAGATCTTCCGCCTTCTCCAGCTCGAGTCTGTCTTGCCTCCCTTCCCTTCCCTTCCCAACCCAGTGTAAGCTGCACCCGCAGGACTGAGCAGTTAATGGATCTGGGAGGTGGAATAAACTCAGGTCTCGACAGTCACACAGCGGATATCGCCAGCCCCACTCACATCAGATAACAGTCAAAGGGATTAGTTCACTTCTACAGTTGTGATCGGAAAAATCTGTTTTCGGTTTTTTCATCCTTGTGGAAAGAGCCTTGGTTTAAGACCCAGCTCTGCTTCTCATTTATGTCGGTAACTTACTTACTTCTCTGAACCTAAGTTTCCTCATCTGTGAGGTGAGAACAATAATACATACTTCAAGAAATACTACCTCCATCAGATTTTAGGGAGATAGCCTAAGTGACTGACTGGCAGGACCAGGCCAATGGTGTTTCTCTTGGGGAGGGGATGGGTTTGCACTGAGTCACTCACCTGTTCATATAGGACTTACTGTCAAATTTGACCTGCATCAGTACATCATCATCACATGTCCACCCTACAATGATTACTCTGCCCAGAAAAGGATTTTTGGAAATCACAATACTGATGGGTTCTTGGCAGTGGGAGGGCATCTGGCCACCTTTGTCCAGATCCACCTCCAGACACAGTGAAGCAGGCTTCTGTTTGCTGCCCCTGCAGGACCTCCTGGGCGTGACTGAGTCAGGACCACGGCACTCTCGGTTGCTGTGCCTTTCAGGGTCATCCAGTCCCCTCTCTGGGGCACGAAATTAAACTAATTCCATCTGGATGGATGAAGCCTCTATTATTCTTAAATAGCCGCAGGGAAGAGGATGCCACATGCTCTTCCGGACATGTATTCCCATCCCTGAAAGAGCTGGTAGCTGGGAACCTATACATTAAGTCAATCATGAAAACCACCCTATTTCAATATACTTAAATGTGGCCACGAGAAACTGGAGTAGAAAGGAGGAGGCAGGCATCCTGTCAATGGCTTGCGTCAACCCACAGCAGCTCACAGATGGAACTCTTGGCAGAAACTTGCCAGTTGAGTGGCTTCAGTCAAGTTCTTCATTTCGGCAGTAAACCTAACACTCTCCTCACAGTGCAGCCAAGAGGGGCCCACCTGAGGATAAGGATGAGTCAGGGGCAACTTGTCAAGATGGGGAGGGGGCTTATTTAGAGAGAAACCTAGGTAGCTGGATGACGAAATTAATGATCCTATTTTAAAGGCAGGGGAATGAGATTGGCATGGTTGATCTAACCCAGATCCTGCTGAAATCAGTTTTTTCCTGGTCTGTACATAACAGACATAATTGGTGAATTTACATGACATTTTAATATAACAATTTCAGGAGTCTTGTAGGTCTTCTGTCCTCTGTCAGAACTGGCGGTGTCCCGCTTGGTTCCTAAATAGATGCCAGCTCTGGGGGAGGGTATAGCTCACTGGTAGGGTGCGTGCTTAGCATGCACAAGGTCTGGGTTCAATCCCCAGTACCTCCACTTAAAAAAACAAACAAACAAACAAACAAACAAATAATTGCATGCCATCTCTGCAGAAGGAAGACCCTGACTGAAAACTGAAAGGGCACAGCACTGGGACGCAGACAACTCCAGGCTCGAGTCCCAGTACTGTCCTTACCAGTAACTCTGCACATGCTAGTTAATCCCTCAGAGGCCCAGTGTTTCAATCTTAAGAAGACAAGACTACCTTCTTGGTAGTGTTGTTGTGAAGATTAAATGAGATAGTGCGTGCAAGTGCTTGGCGGGTGAGGGCCCTCAGTAAGGGGCACCTGCATGACTCATGACAGGGCTGGGTTCACGTGATGGCTCTGACCGCTGCAGAAACCTCGACAGGGCAGGGGGCCATAGTCTGGGTCTGCAGGAGACTCGGGGCAAACCACCAGTCCCAGGTCCCCTGGGAGGAACAAAATGGTGGCTCCTGAGGTTGGAGAGGCGTCAGGGCTGGGGAGCAGGTGCAACACTGAGCTGCCAGTGGTTTGCTCCATCCTCCTCCAGCAGCCGTAGGCTTCGTCTTCTGGGGGCTCCTGCCGGGAGCTGGGAGCGAAGGGAGAGGCAGACAGCTCAGGACAGCTTGTGCAAGTTTAGAGTCTGGGTATCAGTGTAAGACAGCTGGCCATTGGCGCTCTCAGGCTGTCCCACCCCGAGGTGGCAGGATCTCCTCTTCCTAGTCCTGGGGCCAGACAAGGACACTCTGGGCAGAAAGAGACCATCAGTGTGGACGGAAAGAACAGCAGCTTCTTAATCAGTCCAGGAGCACAGAGCCCAGGCGAGGCACTGTCCTGCTCTCATTTAATTATCGAAACGATTCCTCTTCTTCTGTCCTCCCTAGGGCTGCATGCCCCAGATTCCCAGGGCCCAGTAATTGCCTCTCTGTTAATAGAAATCATCGGTATTTATTACACCGAGCTTGCCGGCTTATTTCAGCTCTCCTTGTGGCAGCATTAAGACGTGTGCTTGGTAGCCTGTCACCAAAGCGACTCTACTTAATGACAAGAGTGAAGGCTCCCACACTGTTCTCCTGCTCAGGAGGGGAGCGAATCCTGAGCCGGAGCCCAGAGAGATGAGCCGTGGGGTCACGCGTGGGGTCTGCAGCAAGAGGTCCGGGCCGGGAACAGGGAAGTGAGACGACTGCTCCACCTTCTCCCCAGAGGCTGTCCCCTGAGGGCTTCTGCTCCTTACAGATACACAATAGGTGTGACCTTAGTTCACATTCTTGCTCTACCACTCAGGGCCTTGTAGGCTGTGCCTCCTGGAACTTTCATCTTCTTGTCTACAAATCAGGAAGCATAATATCCGCCTCCCGGTGCTGGCATGAGGATTAAATGAGAAAATAATGTGAAGGGCTTCCAGCGGGCCTGCCAGGGAAGGTGTGCCACAAACTCTCTTCCCTCCTTCCTCCTAGGAGCAGATGCCGTGGGGATGAAGTTACGACACACGGGGCTGGGCCGCGGGCAGTGCCTGGTAGGAGTGCTGCTTCCTTCCCGCAGCCTCTTCAGCCTCTGTGTCCGGTGACAGACAGACTCATCAAAGACAGGGCTGAGCCAGGAGCCCCACAGTCCTAGGGGGCACGCAGACTTGGACTGGACAGCAGGCTGGCTGCCATGGTAGCTTCCGGACCCCAAAGACAACTGTAGAGAATCCCCAGCCCCCTCCACTCAGGTGTCGCACTCAGGTTCACTGTCAGCCCACCTCCGTGTGCCGCCAGGTGACAGCCCTGCCCAGGGACGCATCTCTGAAGTGGGCGTTCCGTGTGGCCTCAGGAGGACCGGACGGATGTGGAGTCAAACGCAGAGGTGACCTGGCCTCTTCTGATGCCCATGTCCATCTGTAGGCAGCTGTGTCTCTGAAGGTCCTGAGGTGACTCAGCAGCTCAGGGGGCACACGTACTGAGTCCCGACCGAGGACTCTCACACGGATGAGGAAAGTGAGGCTCAGAGAAGCCTCCGAAGGCCCCAGTGAGGTGGAGACCAGCCCTGGAGCCAAGGCCAGCTGACTCCCAAGCTCTCCTCGGTCCTGTGCAGCCCCCCTGCTGAGAGCACCTGAGCAATTTATGGAAGTTAAACTACATCAGTTGTGCAGAAGGCATTATTCAGGAAGCTTTGTTAATGCCTTTGTAAATATCCATGTGTCAATTTTGGGGGGTATAAACTGGCATGAATGTGTTTTCTGGCACTTCTGGCCCCCAAGAACACAGGGTCATCTGTCCGTAGGCTGTGCTGCTGAATGGGGAACTGTGCAGTGGGGAAAGGGACCAGGTTTCCGAGTGCCAGAACATTCTTAAAGTTCGTATTTGGAGTTTTAGCATGAAATCCTATGCAAGAGCAAATCACCATCTCCTCGCCAAGGGGCCAAGGGAAACGCAACTCTGCCCCGACACCACTGGGTTCCTTGGTTTCTACTCTGTTCTCATTTGTGTTGGAAACTTACGGTTCCCCCTCATCTATCAGGAAGAAGAGGTCAAGGTTTGAGAATCAGTTTTACCAGTGGCCCTGGGGCCCCCCAGTAGTGGACAGAGAGAGGCAAAGATTTGGAGAAACTGAGGCAGAGACCAGAAATGTCAAAGCAACAAGGATGAGGGGATGCAGTCCAGGGGTCTGGCCGCAGAGAGACAGGGAGAGGCACTCTCCACAGGGCCTGTGGCTGCCCGAGCTCATCTCCGAAATGCCAGACACATGTGAGTAATTACAGAGGTTTTCCTCCGGGCAGAGCGTTCCCGACTGGTTCCCGTCTCGCCCTCACGTCTCGCCCTCACCGGCGCATAATGGAATTAAATACGACTCCACTGCAGTCCCACGCAGTGACTTATGCTGCTGCAGTCAATAAAACTCACTCTTGGAAAGAAACTAGATTACAGGTCAGGGAAGAGTGGGCAGTCCGCTGAGCTGCCTCTGATCAGTCCCTGCGGGCGGCCTTCCACATTCCTCCTCTCTGCATTTCCACCGAATTACCCACTGCTGCCAATGTGCGGCCTCAGTTCCAGATTTGTTATTTAGATTGACTCTGCCTCGGACCCTCCGACACTGATGTGACACCACACGATTAAGCAGCGTGAGTTTTCACAATGAGACATCTCTGGCATCTGTCACTAAAGAAGCCAATCATCCAGGTACTGAAGGGGCAGACAGCACAGGCCCTTCCCTGCCTGTCACCCTCTAGAGGAGGCAAAGTCAGCCCAGTCTCCGGCGGGGGGATCTCACCTTACATGGGTGAGGGTCTACTCCATATGTCTCCAACGTCTGTGCTTTTCTTAAAAAATTCAGCTCTGATGTTGCTGGTGTTTGACCACTGGAATAAAGAACATGAGATGGTTTCAGGGTTTCCTGTTTCCATATGTTCCCCTGTGGAAAGTCTATTAAATGCACAGAGTGTCTCACACTCCTATTTCTCCATAGAGTGTGCTCCCTGCTCTGTTCTAGGACCAACTTCAGAGGCTCTTGTCTAGGGTTAAAAACTCAGATGTCTTCAGAGTAAGGCAGCCTACAGAATGAATGACACGGGCTGAGTGTAGGACAATAGGCAGTGGTGGGGACTATGGCAAACTGGGAGTGCCACCCCATCTACTGAGGGCAGCTGTGTCTCAGCTCCAAGACTGTGGAGTCTTGGAATGCAGGGCCCAGCATTGCTAGGTGTGTTTTTAAAGAGAATTCAGAGGTACCAATTTTTATGTGGCATTTCACAGTTTTAAATACTATGGGGGCAGAAAAAAGACTTCTGTAGGCTGGCTGTGGGCCATCTGATCTAGACCGAAATATGAAGAAGGGGCCTGAATATCTTGTTGGTACCACTTAACCTGCTTCCTTTACGAAAAGGGAACACAGGACACAGTAGTGCTGAGCTCCTCCAGACTCCACAATAGCTCTGTCCACAGGATGATGACTATGAAAAGAAAATGAGCAGAAAATGGAAGAAACTGGCACTGGCACCAAGCCATGTGAAGAAGGGGCCTTTGGCATCATCCCCCTCCTGGCTGCCTCTTTAGCAGGCACATGGATGAGCTCGGCCCAGAACCAGTGCAGGAGCACCATGGGCCCTCCCAGGGTCCTGGGAAGCTGACATCCTTCCCCAGATGTGGGGCTGGGGCGGTGTGAGTTTCAGTGTGAGGAGGGGCGGGCAGTTTGAGGTCAACAACTCTGATGGCTTGTGTGCAGGACTGAACTTTTCTAAGTTCATCACTTGTCTCAAGTAATATGGCAGGGCAAGAAGACAAGCCAGCCCGAGGGAGGAGCAGGCCAGATACCCTCTAGTGTCTTTCTGGAGAGGCAGCAATCAATCAGCACCTCAAGTAGCCTCTGTGCTGCTTGCTGTGAAATAAACCAAAATATATAGTCCCTCAAGGAACTCATGTGGGAGTTGGAGGAAGGAAACACAGAAACATTTTTACATGATGGAGACAAGGCAGAGCCTGTGTAAGTAGTACCTGTGGAAGGAGGCATTTTGTTGGCTGCAGACTTCTATATCCACCACTGCACCTGAGACATGGGAGATACTGGTGCAGGTAAAGGACTGGGTGCCAGAGGCAGCTAAGCTCTGCTACCTCTTCCAGGGAGCTTCCTTATTCCATGTCTGGAGGCTGGAGGGCTCTGTGGGCTCCATTTACCCCCGGGGTCGGCCCAAACATCTGGGGCTCTCAAATTGGGCATCATTTCCTGGGGGATCCCCTGACTTCTATCAGGTTTCTGGAAGACTGTCCCCACTGCTCTGACATCTCCTAACCCTCCCTGGCAGCGCCCCCAGGTAGCTCCAGCTCATCTCCCCCAGATCCCTCCTGTGAACGTGAACCCTCACACAGTCTGTGTGTGTTCCGACCTTTACCACAAGGGGCCGCTCTTCCCTAACCCTGACGGGAGGAGCCTGGGCAGCACCACAAGGGCGCACCTGCACCGGGAGAGGGCCGGGAGGCCGCTAGGATTCCACCTCTGACAGGTGTCTCCATTCCTCTGGGTGGAGTCCAGCCACACACAGTGGGCAGGAAGTCTGTTTACAAAGGCTAAGGAGGCTTTGGGGAAATATTTGTGGGTAAAATCTTTGAGTGAAGGTGAAGATTTTTTGCTTTTTGGGGGCATCAGGAAAGGAACTAGTTTAAGATAAATATTATTAGAGATATCTTTTCCCCTCCCCTTGGACATTGTCCTTCCCCAGAAAGGTAGTTACCCATTTTTAAAGATCTTTTTAAAAATTGTAATGTAATATGATGGCAGGTTTTATTTTACAACACTGTATTGTATATACAATTTTTCTCTATAGTTTATCAGTTTGGGGTATCTGTGCTCCAGCATATCCCACAAAGTGGAGCCCAAACACCCAGCTGTTGTTTTCAAAATAAATCTTTGGGGGAGGAAGGTATAGTTCAGTGGCAGAGTGTGTGCTTAGTGTACATGAGGTCCTGGGTTCAATCCCCAGTACCTCCACTAAAAAAAAAAGAAAGAAAATCTAATTACCCTCCCCCAAATAAATAAAATCAATCTTTGTAGAAAACTGAATTAATAAGGGTGAAAGGATGCATTAATGCTATTTTATGGAATTTGGAATATTCTGGGCAAACTAGTTGAATCTGAGGAGGACACCCGCCTGCTTCCAGCTTCCCCCTCCTACCCCCCGTGCAGGGGTGTGGGCTTGAGGGGGTAGTGCTGAAGACACAACCTCTGAGCCAGGTGCTCTCGGGGCACCCACAGCATCCAGGGATCAGGCCAGCCCTGCACTGTCCCCTGCCCGCCCCAGAAGCTACTTGTCACTGTCGCAGACCAAGGACAGAGTCTTGCCCCTTTTCCATATCCCACTTGACCCCTCCTTTCCTCTCTTTTCCTTTTTCTGTTTTTTTTTTAATGTTTCCTTTTCTTTTCCCCAGTTCATGCTTCTCCCCTCTGTTTCTTCATTTATCTTAGTGAAGCAAATATCTTTCAAAGGCCAATCCCTCTCTGTTTTCCTTATAATAAATATAACATTTCTTTTGCCTTTAGGCCTCAGCCTACATCACCCTTCTTGGAGAGGGAGCCCTCAAGGCTCGGGGCTGTGTGGTCTGTAGGTCACTGAAAGTACAACATCCCAGCCTCAGGAAGGCTGGGTCTGCAGGAGCAGAGGCTGTGTGCTCAGGCCTGGGCCTGGACGGGGCATCACGTACCTGAGTTCTGTCTTATGAATCTCAGCAATCTTCCTTTCCAGCTTCTCTGAATGTTTAGGGAAAAACTGGAACTTGGAGCTGTAGCCTTCAGGGTGTTTTCCTGGGTCATAATCCCCAATCTCCGCTTGCAAAAGAAAGGAGAGAAAAACAGTTGTGGAGTTAAGTAATCACCACGAGCAAAACAACCAGAGATGACCACACAGAGCAGGAGCCGAAGCTGGCACGAAGAACAGTGGCCCTTGAGCGTGGCTGTGGGTCTGCAGAGGGCATGTCCCTCAGGAACACGTCCACATTTGTGTTCCCAGGTGTGCACCCCAACTGGGCTGACATCAAGTCTAAGCAGAGACCGTAGAGCTGACCCTGCATTCTGAGGTCACCACACATAAATCTGCAATGAAAGAGCAGAAGCCAGCAACACGGTCCTCATACATTCAGCCACGAGCAGAGGGCCTGGGAGCCACATTCTCTGCGGCCAGCACAGGAAACCGTGAGCTCGATCGGGAAGACAGACCCTCTTGGGCCTGAGCCAGGTCAGAAGTCTAACTCTCATTTTGAGGATTTTAGCAGGGACACAGCAAAATGATGAATGAGCCACCACCCAAACTCAGAACTCGACTCTCAGTCCGAATCAAATCAAATCAAATCAAATCAAGTGACTACATTTGAATAACTTTTCACTGAGAGCTGACTGGGTCCCAGGCTCCTTGGAGAGGACTGCAGCATGGGAAGACTGGCTCTAACCAGAGCGTGCCCCTGAGATCGGAACCCCAGGTCCCAGCACTGACTTCTCAGTTCCCTGCGGAGGTGGGGCTCTCTCTTCCTGCAAATTCACAGAGTCCATTCCCAGAGCAGCTGAGCTCCCATGGTCCGAGGTGTTCCCCGGCCGGGACCCAGCCTTCTCCAGAGGCAGCATTCCACAGGGAACATCACAGCCATGCTGGGAGGAAGTACGTTAAGAAGCTCAGCTGCTCTGTGGTTGTCTTTTCTCCTTCCCTAGTGAGAACCACAACCAGGGCAGAGAAGTCTTGATGGGGGGAGTGAAAAACACAACTGAATATTGTTCTGTGGCCTCAGTCTCCTCACTGTGCCTTCCAAATCACTCGGGAATTTCTGTTACTCAAGCAAGAGACTAAGGGCTTCCCTGGGCTTAAAGTCTGGAGTGACTTTGACCATGAGGTCATTTATTATAATTTTATTAATAAGCTCCAAGTGGGAAACATGAATGTTGGGCATCAATGACTTCTTTAAATTAAAAAAAATTTCAATATGGATGTCAAGCTAAAACTGAAGGAAAGACTAGAGTTTAAAATTTCACTGAGGTGGAACCAGGTTTTCTTTAAAAATGAAAGGGGTAAATTTGAGTACCTTAGAGTTGGCAAGCACCTTCTAGACTTCCTGCTTAGGTGATTTGTTAAAACAGGAGTCTCAGAAGTCAAAGTTGTGGTGGGTTGACTTCTACATTCTTAATGCAGCTGTAATAATTCTCTTGCCAGAAGAACTTTCTTAGTAACTTATTGGCAAGCATTTTTCAGGTTATGTTCACAAAGTAGCTTCCTGGAGCTCACAGATTTCTGATTAAGAGTTCAGATCCTTTGATAGAAACTTCATGATTTTCGTGCTATGGTCCAAAATAATCCAGTGACAGTTTCAGGCCAAGGACTAAGAGAAGTCTAGGAAGTGGCATCTAGAGGTCCCCTGCATTTCATGAGAGGAGGAGGGATCCTGTAAGAAAAGTGCATACCTTTCCCACTGTTTCACACAAAAAAAGCCAGTTTGGCTATCAGCTGGGTACAGACCCAACTCTAGTTCATTTGCATGTTAGAAAATGGGTTTGTCACTTGCAAACATTTTCAACCTTGAGCACTCTTAACGGAAAGGTCTCTGAAGTAAGTACCAGAATTCCAAGATGTTTCAGGTCTTTGAGATTTGTATGAAAGGAGAGGAAAAAACTGATTTGGATCACTCTCCAGAGTCTCGGTAACTTTATCAACCAAGGGTGCAGGGAAAACCCCCAAATACGGTCTGAATGATGTGCAGGGGCTGCCAGAAAGATGGTCGGTACAATTTAAGGTTCAGTGGTCAGAGCTTCCTGGGTCCAGGCAGCCCAGGCAAAGAAAGTCCTTTAACTCAGACTCTACTTCGTTAGATACTGTTTCTATCCAAGAAGTAGTCATCTGTGGTAACCGAAATAATGTAATCAGGGTTTAGCATGAAAAGCAAATTTACCCTGTCAAAAGTCATTACCTTGAAGGATATAGGCTGCTAACAAGGCAGCATCTGATGTTTTACAGAGGAGGCGGCCGTGGTAGAGATCCCTTTTGATCTGTAGGAAGACTAAGTACCTGCAGAAAAAACAGAGAATGAACTATAAAAGGATTTCTTTGATTGCTTTAAAGACATAAATATGTAATATAAGCCTATCAAAATCTTTGTCAGGACATTTTTACTCCATTAAAACAAGAATCTCAAAACATACTATATGGAACAAATACATTTTCCATATCCCTGACGACTCTTTCAAGCACTTTGGCCCTGAACTGACGCGAGGTTCAATTCAAAACAACCTGTTGGTTTCCACCTGCAGCTCAAAGCAGAAAGAGCGCTTCCTGGTTAAAAGCATTTGTCCCCACCCTTGCCCAGTGTGGGGCTTTGGAAGGAGCCAGCCCGGGTCAAAAAGGAAACCTTAAGAGAAGGGCTGATGGGGCCTCTCTCTGCCTCGGGCTCTGGCTGGCGCTGCCTGGTAAGAGCGGGAGGCAGGGGAAGGAACTGGCGCCGGGAAGAGTGCTGCCTCGTCTTGCCAAGGGAATGTGTGGAACGGCCCTCATTATTGGCTGAGGTCAACCAGGCTGCTCAGAATTTGAATAAGCTGTTGGAAGAGGCATCGGCGAAAAAGCAGGGAAACTTGTGTCGAGTCTTTCTTCGATTACGGGCAGCTCCCCCCTCAGGTGGAAGGCGGCTGTCAGGAACCACAGCTACTAGGACAGGACGAGTGACTACCTGCTAGGCTGGGTGTTACATGATTTTCAAGCTCATCTCCTCTAATTCTCACATACTGCTTGGAGATAGGTACTGTTATTATCCCCCACTTTTTTAAGATAAAGAAACTGCGGCTGACGTGGTTTTCTCACAGGTTTATGACAACTGGTAGGCGCCACAGCCAGGATTCCACCTCAGGACGGTTAGGCTCCCGGGGCTGGCTCGTCATTGCCGTGTTACACCAGCCTCTCTGCTCTGTAACTGCTTCATAGTTTCAAAAGGAGGTGGGGGGACCCTGTCACCGTGGAATGGAATTACCAACTTTCCATTTGAAATGTCTTTACAAGGAGTGGGGTCTTGGATGCTCATAACTTCACAGGTGCCCCAAGAGGAGCAAAGGCCAGAGGGCAGAAACCCCTAAGTGAGTCACAGAGGCTCCTTGGACAGGAGGCATCTGGTGGTTTAAAAATATGGCCACAAATTCCTCGATATGCCTCATTTCCAGAAGTAGAGCTTAATTCTGTCCGTTTGAGTGTGACGAGGTCATAATGTCGCTGCAGCTTCCTCCTTATTCTCTCTTCCTCTTGGGTCACTCACTCTGCTGGAGGACACTTAAGCAGCTCTGCAGAAAGGTCGATGTGGCGAGGAACCAAGGCCTTTTGCCAGCAGCTAGCAAGGAACTGAAGCTTTCTGCCAACAGCCATGTGAGTACACCATCTTGGAAGCAAATCCTCAGGTCCAGCCTTTGGCTGCAACCCCAGGAGAGACCCTGAGCCAGAGCCACCCAGCTAAGCCACTCCTGAATTCCTGACCCACAGACACTGACAGACGATACATACTTGTCATCGTAAGTTAAGTTTTGTGGCATTTTGTTGAACAGCCATGGATAGCTACAGCATCCCCACAGGAGTAATGGGAATATAGTAAAATTCCCTTAAATTCCATCAGCCTGAACCAAAAAGAAATTGGGTTCTCTCTGGACAACTAAGAGGTTTCCATTGCTTCTGTCTTCAGGCTGAAGAATGAAACAGAGGATTCCATGCCCACGGGATCATGTGAAAATGCTCAAAAGAGAGAGGACCACTGACAAGGCGACTTCTGGGGTGATGGGGGTACCAGCTGGTGACTCTGAGAGCCTTAAGCCTGGTGATTCAAGTTGTTAAAGAGAAATGAGAGAGCAGCCAAACCTTCTCTCCTGAGGCCTTGCTACTCAGAGCGTGGCCCATATAAAAGGGTATCAGCGTCATGTGGGAGCTTGCTGGAAATGGAGAATTAGGCCCATCTGAGAGCTACTGAATCATTTTAACAAGATCCCCAGGTGATCTGTATATAGATTAAAGTGTATGAAGCACCGTCGAAAGAAAATTCGGAAGTATCCTTCTAACCACGTCAGGATGGACTGCCCTCCTCAAGCTGAAGGGAAGGTGAGCGCTGGAGTCTGGAAGTTAATAGGAACTCCCCTCCTTACCCCAAGCACCCTCCCCCAACCCCAACTCAGCCCCAGCGTTTGCCACGGAAAACTGAAGGAAAAACACATCATGCAGAGTGAATAGTAATTAAGATGTATCTATTGAATCAAGAATCAAGTTTGTCTTCACTCTGATCCCCACAGTGAAATGGAAGAGAGGCTGGGGGAGCGCTTCTCTGCCCCTCACTGCTCCAGCCCCCACCTCCAAAGCTCTTGCCCCTGACTCACCAATCACTCCCTGGGCCTGTGTTCACACATCACGCCTCCCGCACCTGCTTGTCTGTGTCCAGAACTCAGGGACAGCACACACTGGAGTAAAGGAGATATTTCAAAGGGACAACAAGGCTCCGGGCAGTGATTATCAATGTGGTGAGGAGAGCACCTCCCCGGGAGCACGTCAGAGTCTGTATGGGTGGTCCCGGCTTTGAAAAGCCTCCTCTAGAGTTTCTGATTTGTTGCCCAAGGGGGACATGTTCCTCCTCACACAGAACCATGACGGGTGCATGACAGGTGCCTCAGGGGAGCTGGAAAGGAAACAAGGCTTTCCACTGCTGTGCGGGGCGTCTTCAGACTTCTGAAGGTAGGATAGCCACAGGGAGGTCAAGGCTAAGACGTGAGAACATGATCAGGCCACGGAGCAGCAACTGCGGGGGAGGGGTGGGGGGGCGTCAACATCCTCAAGAAACAAAGCCCAGTCTTTAGAGGACAAGACGACATGAGCTCAGGAAAGAATCAACTGACAGCCTCAAGGTAGAGTGCTGCACTAGGGGTCCCCCCTCCCTTTCCTGCCACAGCAGCTTCCATCAAGTTTTGTGTTTTGTTCATCTAAGGAGGTAACCAGTGACTCAGTGTTGCTGGCCATGGAAATGTCTCCCACGTGATGCACAGCATCCTTAGACCTGTCCCCATGAGACCCTGGTGCCTTCTCCTTGCCACACAAGGGCCTCAGGAGGACGATCTTGTCACCTGAGGCACTGCCACCAGGGCCCCTGTGTTGTAAGGCAAGGGGTCAGCCTGCTGGGGCTGCCCAGCATGGCTAGCTCGTCGTGAGCAGGCTGGGTGGGGTGCCCAACCTCAGACCCTCATAGCAGGAGTCACAGAGCCTAATTCTCACATCTGACAGCTGAGGAAGAAGAGGTCCAGAGAGGCAGAGGGTCTCGTCTGAGGTGACACAGTGATCTGCATCAAGGAAGTCATGACTCAGGGCCTGGTGCTGTTTTCACCCCCCTGGTGGTTCAGTGAGCTGAGAGGGAAAGAGGGGTCCTACACAGAGTCAGGAGAACTCCGTCCTCAGGGAGAAGTCCTCACTGGAACAAAAAGAGAAATCAGCTTAAGACCACATTTAAGGCAACAAGCTGGCTCCTTAGGATACTTTTTTTCGGTGAAACTCTGCCGACCTCTTGGCCTCAAACAGGCTTTACCTCGCCTCCATTTTTGTTTAAATGCCAGGTTGTCCTAAACTGATGGAGGTGTGAATTGGGACCACCCAAAGGCAGAGTGTGTGACCGCCTAACATTCAGCCAAGGAGAACTTGAGTTTTTCCAGAACATATGCATCTCTCCAAGGTTCTGGCTTGGGTGCTGTGCTTTCTGATATCGGAGGCTGGGGATGAATCTAGAGATAGTTCCACGGTAAAGGCTCTGAACACCGGAAAGCACTGGCGGCTCCTGAAGAGCTTCTTCCAGAAGATCCTTTGGCCCTGCCTTCCCTTTATTATATTCTTTGCCCCTGGCTTCCTCTATTTTCTCCCATCCTTCTTTCTAACTATGATCATGTTTAGAATGTCTTCCTCCCTCATGCCAGACTGCAGGCTCACTGGAGTCAGAAATTATGTTTTATTTACTTTTAATATTCTTCTAGAGAGCCTATACATCTTGTGTCTAGCTCACCCAGACACCCTCTCTCCTACCCACCCATCCCCCTACCCATCCATCCATTCATCCATCCACCCGTCTATCCACTCACCCACCCACTCATCCAACCAGTTCTGAGCACACACGTACCAAGCACTGCCACAGGTGCTGGGGATACACAGAGGAAAAAACAGAGTTCCTACTCTCATGGAGCTTATACTCCAGTAGGGAGAGACAGAAGACAAAATAATGACCAAACAATTAGAGCAGTGATTTACTGGGGGCATGTTGTGTGCTACCCACTGTGTTGTTTGAAGCACACTCTTTCATTTCATCCTCACGGCAACTCTATGAGGTGACTACTGTTTTTGATCCCTGCCTCGTAGATGAGGAAGCGGAATGACTAGAGAGATTGTGGCCTGCCTTGTCCCACAGGTAGTTACAGAAGGACCTAGGATTTGAACCCAGGTCTTTTTGATTCCTTTGCCCAGGACTGGCAAACTATGGTCTGCCACCAGAATTTCCAATGAGAGAAAATAAAATTTTGTTGGAATACAGCCATGCTTCTTCATTTATGTATTGTCTGTCTGTTTTCACGTTACAATGGTGGAACAGAGTAGCTGTGACAGAGACCATATGGCCACGAAGCCTAAAATACTTCCTATCTGGCCTTTTACAGAAAAAGTCTGCCAACCTATCTTAGCCTAAGCTAGGCTCAAGTGATGTTCACTGAAGGAATAAATTACCTGAAAACTCTATTAACATTTCTTTAAAATAAATGACCTAAAAAGTCTATTAACATTTTTTTGAGCACCTGCTCGAACATGTGTCAGGCAGTTTGCTTCCTTGGAAGGTGGGGCCCCATTTGCAGTCAGTTTCCGTCTATTACTTGATCTTTCAACGAGTTCGAACACCTGCAGCCCTTGTTAAAAGCTAAATCGGGTGCCTAGTCCCCATTTTCTCTGCCTTGTCTCTAGCTCAGACAAGAAAATCTATTTATTACTTTTAAAAAAATGACAAAAGAGATTAATCAGGATTTGGCAACTAAATTTATCATCTGGGAAGAGTCCAAGAGATAAATTGAAGCCCAGTTCTTTACTCTCTACTTCCTACCCTCCTCTCAGCCTGCCTTTGTGGGAATAGCTGAGACAGCGGGGAAATTTAGGACCAATACTGCTAGGAAAAAACATACTGACAGCTAAATTAGTTTGGCAGGAAGGTGGGGTGGAGGGCTCTAAGCCAGGAATGAATTACGGGTGTGGAGTGAGGCTGGGGCAGGTACCCAGTCTTTTCAGATCAGCAGAGATGTGAATGAGGAGGGAGATGCAGCTAAGTTCAAGGCCTCCAAAGAACGCCGCAGGGAGGGTGAGGCACAGAGATGCCACATTAGACTGTGGCGCCCTGAGGTTCACACACCTGACAACACTTGAGAAATGCACTCGAGGGAAGGAAGGCTGGTAAGGTGCAGAGCAAGGGGAAAACTGTCAAGGATGGTGGGTGCAGATGGGTGTGGAAGGAGCAGGAGATCAGTGCTTGGCAGTCACTTAGAGGCCTGACCATGACTTTCTCAGTCCTCAGAAGTTAGCTGCTGGCGTTGGGACTTGAGCTAGGACAGAAGAGGAGTGGGGACTAGCACATAAACAAAGGAGAAAAGCCAGCGCTAACTGTACTCGTGCCCCATGCAGAGCCCTGGGGGTCCACGGACCATGTGAGCAACATGGCAGCAAACAGACAGCAAGTCTGCTCAGCGCTAGGCTTGCTGGGGGGTGTACTGAGAAGCAAGAGACTGTGTAGCGGTTCATCCTCCCAGCAATGCTATGAGTACTATTCCTAGCCGCATTCTATAAATAAGGGATCTGAAGTTCAGAGAAATTAAGTATTTTATGTCCGGGGCCACATAGCCGAGAAGTAACAGAAACACCACCTGAGCCCCCAGGTCTGTGCTCCTTCTGGGTAGGAGGGTCTGTGCATTAGTGTGATGCAGTGACATTTGCTTTAGAAAACTGTATTGTTAAGAGCTCCTCCTAAGGGCCAGGATAACTGAATATTTTTGCCCTTTAGTCAAATCAGAAAGCCACATGTCTGTCGCGCTCTCACTGGCAGCTCGCTGAGTTGTTAGACCGATCCCTCTCATCCTCAGGGTTGGTCCAGCGAGGTGGACACCAGGTGATCCTGATGGGAGGTGTCAGGAGGTGAGGTGCTAGGCTCTCAACAAAGATGTGTTAAATCTGCCCTGCTGTGTGGACAGAGCGTGGGCTTCTGGGTCTGCCCTGGCATTGTCACCTCTTTTGGGGGGTAGGGTCGGGGGGAAGGCAATGGGGTGGGGAGAGAGGAGGGAGGGGCGGGCTCGGAGCTGTGGCAAACACTCTGGAAGTCATGAGCAGGGCAGGCTCGGGCTTTGCCAAACACTCCTCTCTGTTTAAGTTGTTACACACAGTGGTTCCACCCTCACTCTCCTGCCTAAAGCTACGGGACTGCTCTTTGATATGGATGAACTTGGTTTTCGGGAGCAAAGTGGGAGCCACAGCCGCTCCCACGCCCAGTAAAGAGCATGAGGTCTTTACTGTCCTCAGTGCTTTCAGGTGGGGGGTGGATGCGCATCACCCTGAGCACCGGGGTGGGGAGGTGGCCTTCCAGATCCTTCCTGATCCTTCACGAGACTCTCCTCAACCTCCACGAGGCCATGTGGAGAAGCCCTTTTCCTCCCTTCCCGCTCTGCTTCCTGCACACGCCTCATTCCTGCTTCGTGCCCTCTTCTCTCCCCGTTTCCTCAATTTCCTCCTCCAGGAAATGTTTACCCCTCTTCTCTGACAGAAAGCTAATGGCATGCTCTTCAAAACAGAAGTGAGTATAATTCCGCATTCTTTGGGATTTTCCGAAGCCATTCAGGATCTAGAAGCAGCTCTCAGAGGACAAGCAGTCTCCATGACAGTGATGCCCTCGTCCCAGCCTAAACCTGTCTCGAAGTTTTTAGGGAGAGGGTGGAGCTGGCCCAGCTGGCTCCTCCTAGGCTCTAGGATTCCCGAGCATCACCTCTTCCCCGAGGGCACCATCCTTTACAAGGTAGCATCAGTGTTCTGCTAATGTCAGATGAGAGCCTTCTAACATAAAAATTAAGGATCCCTGTTTCAAAGAGCCCCTGAATCTCTGAGGCAAGACTTTTAGAGTGAATTTGGCTCAGATATACAAAATCCTGGGGAAGCTTTGAGGCTTCCATTCATTGACACTCTTGCAGGACAATGTGTGCAGAGAGGTTCCTTCTCATCCTCAAGTGGTGTGGGATGAGACAGGATTCACTCCACGCAGCTGTCTGCCCGCCACGGAACACGATCCCCACAATGAAGAGTTTATCCTGGGCCTGATCCATCCACACACTGGAGGTCACCCACTTGGACTGAAAACCTTCAGTGCGTCCCAGCTTGTTTTTCACGGACCTGCTTTGGCATTTCCCAAGCACAGTACCTTAGGCTACTGGAGTGTGCATTCCAACTTTCAGCTCCCAAAATAAGCAGCAATACAGCCCTCTCCAAAAATATCCCTGGCAACCACATCATCAGTAAAAGTAAAAATGCTCTTGATTAATTCATCACCCCAGATCCCTTTGCACAGGACTGGTTTGAGATGAAGTATTCACATTTTCTGAAGGAAAGAAACTCACTCTGCTGCAATAAAAGCAAAGAGTGAGGAAAGAGAGCACATGGAAGTGAAACACAGAGGTAAGATTATATTTAAGGAGAATCCCTTGCCTATCAGAGTAAGGAGCTTCCAAAATAGAGGATCCAGGAGGTACAGTCCCTCCTTCCTACCTCTCCAGCAGGTATGAGTTGCTAAGGGAAGCATGCTCAGCCTTACCTGGTTATTTCTTCTTTCAAGGCAGCAGGGTCTGCAGGGTAAAACTTCACACGGAAACACATGGTGAACGGAGGCTGGGCTGCGAAGAAAAAGAGATGCCATTAGGAAAGACCCCCTCCCCGGGAAGATGGCTGGGCTCCCCTCCCCACCGGGATGTACAGGCCCCTGAACCATCAGAAGAAAATCCTCCCACGTTTAGGGACAACTTACACTCAGAAGGGTGGAAAATGACCAAAACTCACTACATGTGGGAGGTTCCATCCCACCCTCCCCAGGGGCGAGGCTTCTGTCTTTTCACGGAGAATACTTACATCTCAGTTGCTTCACCACCGACTTTGTAAACTCCAACCAGTGCTGAAACAGAGAACACAGAACAAGAAAACCCTAATGAGAAGCAGTGTCAGATATAACTTGTTTTATCCAATTTAAATAACTAGACAGATTGTAGCCCAGGGAGTACGCAGTCCAAAACCTTGTGCTGTGGAGGCTTGGAGAGTAAAGAGGGATGCGATTTTCTGAAATAAGCTCCCCAGGAACCAGCTGTGAAGGGGGAAGAGTTCCAGCTTCAGATGCCATTTCTGGGCTCCCCTGGCAACGCTGCCTTCCAAAGGAGATTGCCAAAGTTCCAAGCCAGGTTTCTGGCCTCCCAGTAGGTAGAGTGAATGCAAGTATGTGTGATGGGGACAGAGCCCACCTGGCTGAGTAGAGAAGTGCTCCTTCTAAGGGGGTGTGTGTGTCTGTGTTAGGCGGCGGGGCCTGGGGGACACAAGGACACGCAGAGGCTCAGGGTAGCAGCTCTAGAAAGCACTGACAAGTGGAATTTCATAAATGGTGACAAGACAGGGACGGCTGGTGTATATTTCATCTTTCTTTGAGTAACATACTGCCAACCCTTGTGTTAGGGAATCTGTACTCAGGATTCCTTGGCATCCAGGGATGTTTAAAGTCTAAGTCTCTTAAGACAACTAACCACAACCAACGTGTGGAACAGTATCCTGTTTTCCCTGGATTTTCACAGAGGCAGGACATAGTAGCAACACATTTTTCCCCATGGTACTCTCGTTTGGGAAAGGAAGCAATGAGACCATCCTATGTCAGTTTCCCGGTCGTACATGGATGCTTTATAAAGTGTATTACTGATGTGTGCTGCTTTTATGCTAATCAAGAACCTCGACAATTTGCAGAGAGCTAGAATTGCTCTTATTTGGGGTTTGATTATCTGGAATTAGCTTAAAACCATTAGCGATAAGCTCTGGGAGGGCAGAAAACTGTCTAGTTTACCACTGTATCACCAGTACCCAGCTCAGTGTTCAACATGCAGCTGCAGAATGGATGAAGGAACCAGGACCACACCTCCCTCTTTTCTGGCTACTTCCATTCATCTTGGCAGAGTCCTCCCTCTGGCAGGAAAGCAGCCAGGGCCACGCAGACGGCATCCTGGCCTCCCTTGATGCCCAGCTCTCACCTTCTGGGCTGGGCCATGGGTCACGCAGTTAATGGACCCATGAAGAGCCAGCTCTTCCGTCAGCTCCACATGGATAATCTGGGCTGACATTCTGCTCTCTTGCTTCCTCTGATCTGAGTTCCCAGGAGGCTGGCAACTCATTATAGCCACTCAATGTGGTTAAGAGGTCCTTCTCACATTACACGGCCCACCGCGGCTTGGCTTCACAGGGACGCAAAGGCAAGAGATGAAATTGCACGGAAACAACTGGGGTTCTGGGCTGAACCTGTGAGGGCGAAGGAGGCCTGTCTGTTCAGAACACACCGGAACTGGGAACAGTGGAGAGAATGTGCAAGTGTCTGGGACTCAGTAAACAGAATGCCCCGAGGCACTGGGTTGATAGATTAAAATAAATAGACAAAGGAAGACAGAAACTAAGAGGAATGACAGATCCATTATCCAAAGAAGGCAGAGGGAGCTGAATGACAAAAGGCTATTCCCCTTGGGCAGCTGGAGAGAAGAGGAGTTTGTCCTGGACTGAGCGGATAAGAAAGAAGGGAGGCTGGAGGAGAGGGTGGAAGGGCAGTGGGAAGCTTGTGCAAGAGACTCGAAGGGTCTGGGAGAAAAATCTTGACAGGATCCCCAAAATACAGTGATGGCCAGTTACATTTTACAGCCATCTGGCTAAATCTGGGTCCCAGAATCACTAGCAAACTGATAACACTGGACTGGGGAGGAGTGGTTGGGAGAAGAGGAAAAAGAAGGTTCAGAGAAGGGGAGTTCCCTCCTGTATTGGGGTGAACAAGCCAATCTTTAGACTCTGGGGGCTTGAAAGGCTGGGAAGGAGAGGCCAAGGGCGGTCTGAGCCCCGGGCCTGAAGCAGGAACAGGGGAGGGGGTGAGGGCAGCTCCTCCAGGAGAGACCAGAGGACTCCCAGGCCCCATGGAGACCCCTACAGAGTAAGCAGTGATGGGAAGGATGTGCGCGCTGGTTTCTGCCGCCCTGATGCTCAGGGGAGGAGGTTTACTTTAGGGCCTCACATCAGGGGGGGCAGGGTGCTCCCTGGCTCCTCTCCTCCACCTGCACCATGATCAGTAGATCCAGGGTGCCAATTCTTCACGGGTCCACTTCCCCACGTAACTCCCAAGCACCCTCTTGAGCCTCCCTGCTCTCCTTCAGCCCTCAATAAAGGCACAGAGTCACACACCTTTAGAGGCTACGGGGTACGAGTTCCGCATGGAATCCCAGACGCCACACGGGCTCTGGCGCCAGCAGGTCTGAGCAGGAGGCAGGCTTTGCCACTTGCCTTGGGCCACTCATGTCACCTGTCTGTTTACTCCCCTGGACAGTGGAGAGTATGACAGTGACACGCATCTTGTTCGTGGAAAGGACTGAATAACGTACAGGAAGCTCTTAGTTTCGTGCCTGACACACCTCGGTGCTCACTGTGTACGTGGCTGGGAGGTCTAGGCTGGTGCCCAGTGCGGAGCCGGCACACGGGAGCCGCTCCCTGAAAGTTGGTTTCTTCTTTTCCCCACTTCCTTATTTCTCTGTCTCCTTCTACTTCCAATCTTTATCACCTCCACATACTCTCTTACCCTCCTCAGGCATATTCCGATCTAGCTAAAAACAATGAACAGGACACATTTACCCTTTTTTCTTCACACGCCAGTGTCTCCAGGAGATGAAGAGACCTTGGGGTAACTGGCCTTCCATCTTAAGAAGAAAACAGCTCAGATCAAAAACAAACAAAAAACCTCTTTGTAAAACAGTCCATCATTACAGAGCGAATGGACCCCCAGAGCGTGTGAGGGCACACAGCCTCCCGGTGTGATGGCACTTTTGAGGCCTTACCCTTTGGTTCAGAGTCAAGGACAGTATTTATGTCAAGACAGTGGGGCCTTTATAAGGTGAAGGGATGACCTGGACACCACTTTTCAGACACTCATGATCCTCAAAATTCTGCTCAGCCAGGAGGAATGAAACATGTCAGCCACATGGGGCAAGACCTGTCACAGAAAACAGATACAGGTTTCGAGTCTTTTCCTGCAGCTATGTGTTCAGCATAAACTCCTAAATGTGACCTGGAGACAGTGGCTCAGAGCATCAGAGAAGAAAACACCACCTGTCTGACCCAGTGCTCACATCCTCCCCATCACTGCTCTGGCGTGGTGGGGGTGTCACCTGTGGCCTGGGCACTACTGGGAGGCTGTGCCCTCTGGGGCTCCAAGGTCCCAAGCGGTGACAGAGATGAAGCCCATGTTTGGAGCCGTGAGAGAGAATGCAGGCCCATGAAAGGGGTGCCCTCTGGGACTGGTGGTGAGAATGTTTTTGGAGGGTGGTACTGGCTGGGGTGGTGGTGGGCGGTGGCTGGGGTGTAGGGAAGGGAGACATTGAGGCCTGAATGCTTCTGCATACTTTCCTACTTCAGTAGTGATGCCATCGAGAACATCTCCACACCAAGCAAAGGCTGATGAACTGCTGTTATAGAAACTGGAGGTGTCGGCCAGCAGGGTAGCTGGGCAAGTGGAGGGGAGGAACATGGCACTACGAGTATACCACTCACTCACCCCCTCACCATTCCTTCAGCAAATAGTTATTGAACATCCACTGCATTCCAGGCCCCATGCTAGTTCCATGGGATACAGTGATGAATGAAATAAGGTCCATGCCCTCACGGAATTTTGTTTTTGCCGGGAAGCCATGTAATCAAACAGGTAATCACAGCATGGGGTAGTAAGTGCTCCAGGAGGGGTAGTACAGGGCACATCACTCAGAGTGGGGGGTCAGGAGAGGCTTCCTGGAAGAAGAAAAAGTCTGAGCTGAGGCCTTACATGTGGGAAGGAGTTAGCCAGTAGAGAAGTGAGCCCAGGGGAAGCCATGTTCCAGAGAACTATACAGGCGAAAGCTCTGAAGAGGGAGAAGACTTGGGGGGTGGAGAGCCACAGCATCGTCTGGCTGGGTCAGGGCAGGAGGAGACGGTCAGAGGAGATGAAGCTGGAGGGATAGGCAGGGGCCTGGGAATAACAGATTGTTCCCTTATCTGTCCGGAGTATCACAGTCCTTGTCAGTGCCTTGCATCCGGAGAGCTGCCCATGCTGTGTAGCACAGAACAAAAATTGCAGGATTTGCAAGGAATGAAGGCCCACGTCAGTTCACCTCCATCTCTGTCCTGCTCGGACTGGGCTGTCGTGGTGCTTAGGTGAGGCCCTCCCTCACCAGAACAGTGAGAGTCCACCCATGTACCAGAGGAGGGCAGGAGAGCCCCAGCCTGTGACCTGGGCCCAGAGACCACCACACAAGCCCAGCTGCCCTGCCTCTGACTGGGCAGCTCTGGGCAAATCACTTCTGGTCTCTAGGCTGCCATCTCAACATCTAAAAATTGACAGGCCACACCAGGTGAGCTCGGCTGCGGTGTCTTCCAGGTCCCCTCGTGTGACGTGAAGAGATGACACCCAACTGCAGGGTCTGGTTGGTCCCTGACTCTCAAGGCTGGACTCTGAACATGAGCGACAGTTCAGGGCTTCAGGCTTATTGGCCAACCCCCTCCCCTGCATTTGCGCTTTGAATATTGACTTACCCGCTGTTTATCAGGGTCCACAAAGCGGATTCCAAAATAGTCTTTCTCAAGTAGGTTCAGGTGGTGGCAAAGAAGGTCAAACAGGTACTGGCCTTTGGCATCTCTCTGCAAAGAAGGAAAGCTGCACTGAGAAAGAGGCAGGCTTCTCTGTGTAACTTTGTTTTGATCGTCACTAAAAATTATTGTAACAATTGCATGAGGATACGCAAGGGGCATGTGCCCAAAACTATGTCCTCCTATTGTGATGGATTCAATATTCCCAGGAATTCTGAGGCTTTTTGCGCCTACAAGGGGCCCAAGGGCCCTTCCTTCCACAACCACGTCAGAGAAGGCAGACAGAGTCCGGTAAGCCCAGCTCCCGTCTCTATGGCACACAGCTCTCCTCGGGACTGTCGTGCGGAGCACACTGCGTCCAGCCGGCTCCAGCTCTGAAGTAGATCCTGAATCCTCCACTGGTCTCCATCCCCATCACCAACCCCACAGGTGAAGCACCGCCACCTCTCAACTAGACCATGGCCAGAGCCTTCTAATTGGTCTCCTGCCTCTGCATGCGCCCTCTCTCCACATGGCGACCAGGGTGACCACAACTCAGACAAACTGTTCTTTTTTAATGAATAAGTAATACCGGCACACAGTAAGATACCCAGACATACAAAAGGATATACTATAAAGAGGAAATCTTTAACTCTACTCACCCTGTGCTTCAGTTCCCCTCCCCAGAAGCAACCCCTGACCAGCTTCTGGTGTATCCTTTTTTTTTTTTTTAAATGGAGGTACTGGGGATTGAACCCAGGACCTCACGCATGCTAAGCACACACTCTACCACTGAGCTGTAGCCTCCACTCCCAGTATATCCTTAAGGTAGTTAATTTATACGTGGGCAAGCCTATATGCACATACATGTCTTCTGAAAATACACTGTCAGCATATTTTACACCGTGTTGTGTCTGGGGACGTCCCCCCACTTAGGGTGTCATGTGACTCTAGCAGCACATACACATAAGCCTCACAGTCTACTGCGCAGTGAGCACACAGGGATCTTTAACCACGTTACCGTGCCCATTTAACACTGTCAGCAAGGGGTTTCTCTTGCTCTCAGAATAAAATCCAAACTCTGATCATGGCCTCCCAGGCCCCACATGATGTGGCTTCTGCCTCCTCTCTGCACTCATCCCAAATCATTCTTCTCATTACTCTCCGGCCACGGCCTCCCTGTTCCCGAGCCTTCCCAGGTTCTCCTGCCCCTGAGTCTTGCAGTCCCTCTGCCCGGGATGCGCTTCCTCCAGCTCTTCCTTCCCCGAGGTTCAGCTCCAGTGTCCTTTCTGTGGAGAGGTCTTTCCCCTACAGGACAGCCCCTCCCTGTCACTTTCTATCTTATTTATCCCGTTTGTTTCCTTCATAGCACTGACCACAATCTGTAATGATCTTGTTGATTTGTTTATTACTTATTTACCATCTGCTCCCTTCTAGACTACACTTTTCATGAGGACAGGAGTGCCCCCCCCAGAATTTAGCACAGGGCCTGGCATATGGCAGGTACGGCCTCAATAATTATTTGTTGAATAAATGAATAGAAGGTGGAGGGGAGGCTAAAAGGCTTTACAAAATGTCAGGAAATTAGGCCACTTCTAAACCCATAACCATCTCCTTCAGGGACTTGCCTGCATATCTGGGATGAGCTAGGGGGGGAGAATGACTTGCAGGAAACTGTCAGAAAGCTAGAGCTCTGCAAGGCAGCATCTCGGGGTCTGTCCCCAGTGGTCTCTGCAGCTCAGCTGAGATGCTTATCTCTGGTGGGTCTGTGTCTAATTCTGCATCCAAATCAAGGTGGTCTTATGAAATCCAAGTTATCTCGCCTGTGACAAGGCCCAGGGCCTTGGGTAATTATAGAAGGACCTGGCCCTGCTCCAAGAATGGGCAGATTTTTAAGGCCTCCTCGAAAGGCTTACACCTCCCCTCATTCCCTTCTGCAGGCTCACCCTATACTTTCCAAGGAGGACTAGGGCAGATATCAGATCTCTCAGCAAGTATCTTGAGACGCTTATCCTTGCAGGATTGGAAGGATGAGCAAATGGACAGCGCAACTAAGGCAGGTGATGCCCCATAGGCACCCCCATTCTGCTGGCCCCGCACTCCCCTTCACAACATAATCCTGAGGCAGCGGGCCCCATTCCTCTACCCTTTGGTCTCCCACCAGAAAGAGCTACTCTCCAGACGGACAGACACTTGTTATGAAGCACACTGGGAATCAGGGTGGTGGGCCACAAACCAAGTCTTTCAAAGGACTCCATCAACAACTGTCCTGCTGGGCAGGGGCTGTTAACGCTTTCCTCACTGATGCCCCAGAGTGTGGGAAGAGCTTAAATTCATTCTCAAGGCTCTTCTGGGAACACAGGAAATATGCTTAGCCCTATCCCAAGCAGCATGTCCTGTTCTATTATCTCTCTCATCGCAAATGAAATGGAATATTAAGAGATAGTTGCAAGACACATGCACCCCAATGTTCACAGTAGCACTCTTTACATAGCCAAGACATGAAAGCAATGTAAATGTCCATTAACAGATAACTGGATAAAGAAGATGTGGTGTATGTGTGTGTGTATATATACACATATACATATACACACAATGGAATACTACTCAGCCATAAAAAAGAATGAAATAATGCCATTTGCAGCAACATGGATGGACCTAAAGATTGTCATACTAAGTGAAGTAAGTCAGACAAAGAAAGAAAAATACCATATGCTATCACTTATATGTGGAATCTAAAAAAAAATGACACAAATGAACTTATTTACAAAACAGAAACAGATTCACAGGCATAGAAAACAAACTTAAGGTTACTGAAGGAGGAAGAGAGGGAGGGATAAATCAGGAGTTTGGGATCAGCAGATACAAACTACTATATATAAAATGGATAAACAACAAGGACCTACTGTAGAGCATAGGGAACTATATTCAGTGTCTTGTAATAACCTATAATGAAAAAGAATATGAAAAAGCATGTATATAAAAATGTATAACTGCATCACTATGCTGTACATCAGAAACTGACACAACATTGTAAACCAACTACATGTCAATGAAAAAAGAGACAGTTGTATATTATGAATATTTTTCTCTACAAATTTTACTTTGCACCAAGCTGGCTACTACACTGTGATCAGCTAGAGTGAGCTGGGTTTACTTCAAATTGAAGTACTGTTGATTTACAATATTATGTTGGTTTCAGGTGAACAGCATAGTGATTCAGCACTTTTGCAGATTATACTTCATTATAGGTTATTACAAGATAATGGGTATAATTCCTTGTGCTATACAGTAGGTCCTTGTTGCTTGCCTATTTTATACATAGTAGTTTGTGTCTGTTAATCGCATACCCCTAATTTGTCCCTCCTGGGGTGAGTGTTAATGGCTGAAGACATTTGCTTCTATACATACAAGAATCATACTAGCAGGAGCCCAGGGGAGCCATGGGGAAATCAGGCTTCTGTACAGAAATCACATGGGACTTTTACTAAGAACAATGTTTTCCATTAAAACAACTGATTCTCACGGGCCGGCAGCTCAGATACACTCGTAGGGCTCTTCACTAGCAAGAACATTAAAAAGAGTAGATCCAGCCTCAGAGTTCTCCCATTTCACGGGGAGAAAAATGAAGCATGGCTTTTCTCTTCAGGTAGTTACTGTACATGATCTATATCAGTAAAAATGGACCTTTTTCTCATTATTTCTCAGCATCTGGTGAAACCCTTGCTCCCCACCATGAAGTCATAGTTCCCTTGGGCTCCCATTTACCAGCAGTAGATGCACAGTTTTGAGCTACAAGGCTCCTGTGGAGGCTAATGAAGAGAAGCATCTTCCTTCGCTGTGTCTCCAAGGCTGGAGGGAGGGAGGGAAGAGAGGTGGGAATGGGGTTCCTCCTTACAGCAGAATCCAAGGAAGTGTGAATTCCCAGCAGAAACACGAAGGCAGAATCAGCTGAGAGAGCTGCAGGGGCACCTCTCACACAGAGTTGCCACTGCCCCTCGACTGGAGCCCTCATGCCTGTGGCCGGTGGAGTGTTCAGAGGCCACCTTGGTGGAGGGGTCACCTTCAGCTGGACCCTCCTGGTGGGTTCCTGACAACAAGCCTCTGGCAGGGCCAAGAGTTTAGGAATTTACAACTTCCTGGCCCTGCATTTCCAGATGCCAGCGGTGTCCTAGGATTCCCTCTCCATAGTCTCCCTGCCTTAAGTCTGGGGCAGCCAGAATACTCTCTGCAGCCAGTCTTCTCTTGGCAAAGTCCAGCGAATTCCAGCTCCTTTTCCCTTTGTTGGCAGTTGCCTAGGTGCTGTGGTTAACCTGTGTGCTGTGTGCTGAATGCTCTGCCGTTGATTGCACTGGGGAGACAGGCACCCACGCTGACAGGGGATGCCTAGTCGCAGAGTCAGGGCTCCAAGCCTGGGACGTTTATCTTCAGGACAAGTGAGCTGAGGCAGGTCACCCACATCCAGCTAAAGGTCAGAGGTTATCCCTTTCACAAAGACACTAGTGGGTCAAAATAACTTATTAAGCACCCATCTAAAAAATACATTTCATTTCATGAACCACAATTGTATCTACACGGATTTCAAAATAATAGTGCATCTAGGTACAACCTTTTAATTCTCTCTATATGGTGCCCAGAATGACTCACAAGTCCCTTAAAATCAAGCAAGAAAAGTAGGCTCCTGGGCCAGACGCTCAGCAGGAGTTCCATCCGTTCAAGGAAAATGTAAATCAGCATGGAAGGTTGCTGAGGAGGAGGAGAGGAGGAGAGCATTCATATTCCCACTCCTTCCTGGAGTGCCTCGTTTTGGTTCTCTACAGTTTGTCTTTTCTGCAGGGAAGGCACCGAGGCAGCAAGCGGTAAGCAGGCTTGGGCCGCAGACCTCGACTATTCGAGGTTAACTGCATTTTCTGCCTCATAATATTGGGCAGGAGAACAGCATTATTTTAACCCATCACGGGATCAATCCCAGGGACGTTGGCACGTGACCCCCTGATCAGAGAGGTTAACATGGGGAAAGCCCCCCACTCACTGGGCTTCACCTTATTCAATCTGGCTTACCTGTGAGGCAGGCAGTTTGGAAGTGCAGACTCTGTGAGTCTTGAAGAGGG